CCATGCTATGGAGGGAGAACACGGGGCCTGTGGGAACCAGAGGAGGTCCCCAACCTAGTCCTGGGGTCCCGGAAGGCTTCCCACAGGAAGTCACATGGAAGCCCAAGTCTAAAGGAGGTGTTGCGAGTCTATGTGCAGGGCCAAAGACACTCCCTCCCTACTAGAATCTCCCAGGTGGTCCTCCAGCTTCTCCTGGCAGAGTCCAGAGATTGGTGAGCTCTTTGGGTAAGCCAGCCCACTCTGGATGCCCAGCTGTCACTAATAAAAGTCCTTCCTTCTGACCCAAGCCTACTCCACTCCACCCTTTAGTTAGTAACAATATTATCGTAACACCCATAATCTTTCAGAGTATTTATTGCACGCCCACTTTGCACCTGCCAGGTGCATTGTAAGCACCCCCTAATTGCCTCCTCACAGGGACTCTTCACGATCCCCTTTTCAGATGAGAGCACCAAGACTCCGAACCGGTGGCTTGCCTGAGCACTCGAAAGGCCTCAGCCCCAGGCTTTCGTACCCTCGGGATCCCTGCCCCTATGCACTGACCTCACTGCCTCCCCTTGGACTAGCCTCACCCAAATGCTTTCCCTTTGGGTCCACACAAAACAGGGGCTTGGGCCCCATTCCCTGTTCCCTCCAGCAGGCCGGCCAGCCCGGGCGTAGGCCTCCTTCCTCTCTGAAGCTCGTAGGGAGACAATGGCGGGGTAGGTGGGGGAGGCGAGGGCGCGGGTGCCCCCCTGCCTGCTGTCCTTTGTCTTCCCGCCTGCTCCCCTCGCGCGCCCCGGGAGGCTGGGAGGCGCCTCTCGCAGGCTTCCTCCTCCCATTCTTGTGCTAATTGGGTGTCAAGCTGAGATCAGTGAGAAAGAAATCCGCCCCGGCTCGGGTTAAACTGCCGCCAAAGACGAGGGCTGAGCCCAGAATATCATTAGACCAGGAGGAAGCAGGGCCCCCTCCTCGGGAGGAGGGGCTGGCTACGCATTTCAGGCCCCTTTGAAAGTCACTCGGTCACCCCCTCCTTTGCTGCCACAGCCTCAATGGGCCCCTCGGAGGTATTTAACCTTCTTCCCAGGAACTGAAAGTGATACACCACGCAGTGGCCTGGGTAGCCACTTGCCTGTCCCGAGGGCGGCTGGACCTCCGGGAGCGCGCGAGGCTAGCCCCTTCCAGCCTCTCCTGGAGGAGCAGAGAATTTGCAGATGGGAACACTGAGGCTCAGGGAAGGGGACTTTCCTCCCAGCTCTGCCATTCACAAGCTCTGTGGTCTTTGGAGAGACTTTGCCTCTCTGAGCCTCAGATTCCTCATCTGTGAAATGGGGATAAAAATGTACCTGCTTTGGGCCAGGTGCGGTGGCTCACGCCTTCAATCCCAGCACTTTCGGAGGCCGAGGCGGGTGGATCACTTGAGGTCAGGAGTTCAAGGCCAGCCTGACCAACATGGTGAACCCCTGTCTCTACTAAAAATACAAAATTAGCTAGGCGTGGTGGCGGGTGCTTGTAATCCCAGCTACCTGGGAGTCTGAGACAGGAGAATGGTTTGAACCTGGAGGTGCAGATTGCAGTGAGCTGAGATTGGGCCACTGTACTCCAGCCTAGGCAACAAGAGCAAAACTCTATCTCAAGAAAAACAAAAACAAAAACAAAAACACAAGATAGTACCTACTTTGGAGGATAAAAAAAAAGGTACCTGCTTTGAATAGGAGGATTTAATGAAATCATGCACCTAAAGCGCTTTGCACAGGCCTGGCACATAGAAGTGCGCCATACCTTGTGGCCATTAATGGGAACCTAAGGAAGTGGGTTTGACTTGATACTCGGACCTGCAAACAAAGCTTGCTCCTCTCTGGAGGCGTGCAAATAGAAGAGCCCACAAAGGATTCTAATAACTCTAACCCCTCTCCCCAACCCTGCAGCCTCGCTGCCTGCCCTTACTTACGTATTTATTTATTTGAGACAGAGTCTCGCTCTGTCTCCCAGGCTGGAGTGCAGTGACGTGAGCGCTCAGCGCACTGCAACCTCTGCCTTCCGGGTTTCAAGCGATTCTCCTGCCTCAGCCTCCCGAGTAGCTAGGGTTACAGGCGCCCACCACCATGCCAGGCTAATTTTTTTTTTTTTTTTTGAGACGGAGTCTAACTGTTACCCAGGCTGGAGTGCAGTGGCGCAATCTCGGCTCACCGCAAGCTCCACATCCCGGGTTCGTACCATCCTCCTGCCTCAGCCTCCCGAGTAGCTGGGACTACAGGCGCCCGCCACCACGCCCGGCTAATTTTTTGTATTTTTAGTAGAGATGGGGTTTCACCGTGTTAGCCAGGACGGTCTTGATCTCCTGACCTTGTGATCTGACCGCCTCAGCCTCCCAAAGTGCTGCGATTACAGGCGTGAGCCACTGCACCCGGCCTAATTTTTGTTTTTAACAGAGATGGGGTTTCACCATGTTGGCCAGGCTGGTCCTGAACTCCTGACCTCAAGTGATCTGCCCACCTGGGCCTCCCAAGGTGCTGGGATATAGGTGTGAGCCACTGTGCCCGGCCTGCCCTTCTTTAATTGGCCCTGGACTTTCAGACCTCTGCATACATGGTTGCTCCCTCCATCTCGAACAATCTTCCTTGAAAGCCCTCCCTGACCAAGATACGCCCAGCTTGGGTGCTGGATTAGGTGCAGCTCAGCACACAGCCTTTGCTTCTTTACCCACCATCCCCCTCTCTGGAGACGGTGGCTCCCTGAGGGCAGATCTGGGACCCAGGTCTCTATCTTGCTCATCTGGCAGTTCCCTGCCCTCCCTGCACTTTAGAATTTGCTCCATAGGGCCGGGCGGGGTGGCTCACACCTGTAATGTCAGCACTCTGGGACGCCGAGGTGGGTGGATAACCTGAGGTCTGGAGTTGGAGACCAGCCTGACCAACATGGAAAAACCCCGTCTCTACTAAAAATACAAAATTAGCCAAGCGTGGTGGCACATGCCTGTAATCCCAGCTACTTGGGAGGCTGAGGCAGGAGAATCGCTTCAAACCAGGAGACGGAGGTTGCGGTGAGCCGAGGTGGTGCCATTGCACTCCAGCCTGGGCAACAAGAGCGAAACTCTGCCTCAAAAAAAAACAAACAAAAAAAGATTTTGCTCCATAGATGAACTTACAGGGTGCTCTGTAAACTGTGGGGGCACTATATAAATGTCAGGAAATGCCTGAGAAACAGTAGCTATTTTTGTCAGTTAACTTCACAAGCATGTAATAAGCACCTGCTGCATGCATGGAGACGACTCACATGGCCATGGCTGAGGTATGATCAGATGCAGACCCGAGAGCTGAAGGGGTCACAGGCTCACCAGTCCCTGTCCATCGTGGATGGGCTGCAGTGGGGTCCAGGGCAGAAGTGGGAAACTTAGCCTAGTCTAAGTGGGGTTTTAACATCTAAATATATCACCCTTTTCTCTTTTAATTACCACGCATTGAGTAGACACCAGCACCAGGCCCAGTGCTGAGATTTTTGTGCATGATCTCATTGAATTTTCACAACTATCCCAAGATAGGGATTCCCTGACCTCCATTTACAGGAGAGGAAACTGAGGCTTAGCCTGGCAAGTGGTAGAGCTGGGATTTGGATGCAGGCCTGTCCGACTCCAGAGCCAGAGCTCTTCACCACCACTGCATACTGCCTTCAGGTGACTATGTTCAACCTGGAGGAAGGAATGCCTCGCTCTGGGAGCTCCTTCTTCTCATTGTGGAGAACTCACTACTGAGGGTTAAAGACACAAAGCCGCACTGCCAACCAAGTCCAGGCCCTCGGAAACCCGACCAAAGGCCCTCGGAGGCCTGTCACAGGGTCCTCTAAGTTGGGGACCTGCTCACGGGTGAGGTGGGAATCAGCCTCTCCATGCTTTCCTGGGCCAGGAGTGGATTCTCCAAGCTCCACACGCCCTCTGCTGATCACACTCAGGCACGGCAGCTATACCTGCCACATGACCACTCAGCATCGCTCCGCAAGGCCCCCTACTCCAGTTCGGCCTCTGCATCTCAAATTCTCCCAAGACAGGCACTGGATTCCTCTGTCGTGCCAAGTGCACTCCCCCAGGAGGCACCCCAGCTTTCAGCCTGGCCACCCTCCGCCTGCACTGTCAGCTGCTGGCCTGGGGCGTGGCCGAGGCAGCTCTGCAGGCATGCGTGGAATGGAGGCTTTCTGGCTTCCCTCGCCTTCTGCACCAGGAGGCAGGGTGGTGTGGCAGGAAGGGCATGGGCTCCATTCCAGCCCCCTCTACTTCCTGCAAGATGTTGGCCATGTAACTGAAAACCTCCAAGTCCTGGTTCTTTCCTTAGAAAGCCCATAGTGGACATAAAGGCCCAGGGGCTTGCACTACCCACCACCCTGGGCTGTACTGGAACCCCCTCCCCTTGAGCAGTGAGTTTCCAGCCTGGGTGTGACTCCTCCATCGGGGCCTAGGAGACAGCTGGCTCTCCGCTGGCACTGCTGGTAGGGCAGCTGTGTTGACTGTTCCAGGAAGCTTCCCTGGCCTCTGTCCAGGCTGCCGGGCAGCCTTGCTCTGGCTCTCACAGCAGCCACCACCCCTGCATATCTTTCCCGCCCCTAAACAACTGGGAAAATGCACCTCAGGCAGAGTCAGAGTCCTGCCTGAGGTGAATTTCCTCTCAAGCCCCTTACTCGTGATGGCACTTTTAGCTTCTGAATCCTCTTAACCGATGAATCCATTTCACAGGTGAGGAGACTGAGTCATTTCCCCAAGGCCACACACTTAGAGTGACAGAGCTGGTTTGGACTTTCAAGCCCACACTGTGAAACGCCATGCCAGACTGACATGGGCACTGCCCCAGCAGAACCAGCACACTGGAGACAGGGGCTGTGGCATCTCACCTGCCACACCCTCAGGTTAGATGGGTGAATGAACAGATGAGGTGGGTGAATGGGCCAGGGGGCTGGCGTGGGGGATCGAGTAGGCCGCAGGGGGGCTGCAGCGCTCTGGGGTCAGGGTGGGCTTGGGTGGCTTGCACACAGGCTAGGAGGACTCAAGGCAGAATTTATTGGCCCCTGAGCCCCCTCCCCCATTCCTCCTTCTCTCATAGCCAGGCCAAGACTGACATGGAGGTGACATAGACCCGTAAGGACTGAAAAGCTATGCCTGAGGGACAGCCAGGCAGCCATCCAGGGAGGAGGATGGGGAGTGGGGAGAGACCAGGAGCGCGGTCCTGACCTCCTACTGTAGATGGGCATCAGGGGCCACCTATAGATGTCCGGTCCTCTCCTCCCCTCCTGGAGGTGGGGGTGGAGCCCAGTGAACTTGGGCAGCTCTGGGGCTACAATTCTCTTTGGCCACCGGATGGATGTGACCACTGTCCTTGACCACTCTGTTGACTTCCTGAGTCTGGGGACTTCTACCCTGGTTCCATTTATAAGCTCCCTGCTTTCTAGGAAGGGCTTGGTGACCCCTTGTCCTCTCCCTACCCTGACCCAAGACATCATCCTGAGAAGACCCGTCAGTCTCAGCCTGGGAATCAGAGGGCCTGCCCTGCCCAGAAGACGTTAACTTGGACATGAGACTTTCACAGAAAGCCTCTGGAAAGGTTGGGGAGGCAGTGAGTCACTTGGCAGTTTTGGATGGAGGGGGCAACACCTCAGGATGGAGGTGCCAGGCCCCGCTTGCTTTGGTCTGGCCTTGTCCGGGACCCCTCTGGGGCGGAACCTGGGGCTCCGGATCCAGCATCCACCGGCCCTCAGAGGGATGGGGGGAATCACAGCTTCTCCTCGCCTGCCTGGATGCGGCTGTAGGCCTCTTGGTCCAATGGGACGTAGCGGCCCTTCCGGGCATCTAGATAGAACAGCGGGTCTTTCACGATAGCCGGGTCAAAGCCCTCCTTCCGTAGCTCTGTCTTCTGCAACTTGTAGGTCCCTGGGAGAGCAGGGAAGAAGACTCAGTGCAGGGCAGGGGCCTGAGCTCCCAGGAACCCCACTACCAGTGCTGAGGAAGGCAGGGAGTGGGGCTAGAGGACAAACACGGGAGGAAAGTGGGGGAGGAGGAGGCACAGCCCTTTACAGTTTGCAAAGAATGTTCGACCTATTACCTAAAGTAATAGAGCAGCCGTGGCAAAGTTGGGGCCTGGGGACAGCTGCTAGTTACCCACCCACCCCTACTTTGCAGATGGGAAAACGGGCCTGGAGAAGGGAAGTTATTTGCCTAGTATTACATACTGAGTGACAGCAGAGTGGGGACCAGAACTGAGGTCTTCTGACTGTGATGTGTCCCTTTGAGTACCGACCAGATAACAGTGTGAGCTCATTTCACCTGTACATCAGCCCCACAGGGCAGGTGCTCAACCGTATTCTCTGGATTCTAACATGGACGTGCTTGCAGATTTTAACATCTCTGAACTAGTATAATTAGCAGCACATATTTTCTTACTCGTATATAAAGTATTCATGGTATTTTTTTCTTTTTTATTGAGACAGGGTCTCGCTCTATCACCCAGGCTGGAGTGAAATGATGCTATCTCAACTCACTGCAACCTCCACCTCCCGGGCTCAAGTGATCCTCCTACCTCAGCCTCCCAAGTAGCCAGGACTATAGGTGTTCACCACTGTGCCTGGCTAAGTTTTGTATTTCTCTCTTTATTTTTTTTTTTGGAGACGGAGTCTTGCACTGTCACCAGGGCTGGAGTGCAGTGGCTCGATCCTGGCTCACTGCAACCTCTGCCTCCTGGGTTCAAGTGATTCACCTGCCTCAGCCTCCCAAGTAGCTGGGATTATAGGCGCCCACCACCACGCCCAGCTAATTTTTTGTATTTTTAGTAGAGACAGGGTTTCACCATGTTGGTCAGGTTTGTCTCGAACTCCTGACCTCAGATGATCCACCCTCCTCGACCTCCCAAAGTGCTGGGATTACAGGCGTGAGCCACTGCGCCTGGCCAAGTTTTGTATTTCTTGTAGAGACAGGGTTTCGCCATGTTGCCCACGCAGATCTTGAACTCCTGGGCTCAAACAATCCACCCGCCCCAGCCTCCCAAAGTGCTAGCATTACAAGCATGAGCTGCCACGCCTGGCCGCATCTTTCAATCAATGGTATTAATCCTGTACAGATGAGAAGACTGATGCTCAGGGTGGTAGAAGTGGGGTTGGAACCTGGATGAGACAGACTACCATAAATGGCTACAGGTTCCTCCCCTCCCTGTACACACACACACCTCTGCTATGTGGCTTTGGCACTTCTGGCAAGAGCTCTTTTTCAACCTCCACTGGCCTCAATCTGGACTGGCTTTACAACCTGCTTTAATCAACAGAAGGTGGTAAACACAATGTTGTAGGAGTTCCGGGTGAGTCTAGGCCTCGGGGGACCTTGCATCTTCCACCTCTACCCACTTAGGGGTGCCCTGGGGCTAGTCTAGCCTTCCAAAGGGTGAGAGGCCATGTGGAGCAGAGATGAGCCATCCCAGGTGAGGGCCCAGACTGGCGCTGTCCAATATGACCTCATGTGGCTATCTACATTTCAATTATTAAATAAGGCCGGGCATGGTGGCTCGCGCCTGTAATCCCAGCACTTTGGGAGGCCAGGGTGGGCGGATCACCTGAGGTCAGGAGTTCGAGACCAGCATGGCCAACATGTCAAAACCCCATCTCTAATAAAAAAAAAAAATACAAAAATTAGCCAGGTGTGATGGCACGTGCCTGTAATCCCAGCTACTGGGGAGGCTGAGGCAGGAGAATCACTTGAACCCAGGAGGCAAAGGTTGTAGTGAGCTGAGATTACGCCACTGCACTCCAGCCTGGGCAACAGAGCAAGACTCCATCTCAAATAAATAAATAAATAAATTTAAATTCAACAAAATTTAACCCCAAAGTGTTGATATTACAGGCGTGAGCCACTGCATCCAGCCAGCAGCCACCTTTCAAGTGTTCAGTAGCACTGCCAGGCTAGTAGCTATTGTGTTGGACAGCAGAAACCTAGAACATTTCCATCGCCGCAGAAGGTTCTGTTGGACAGCGCTGCAGAAGCAAGCAGTCGAGAGCCAGACACCTGGGTGAGGCCATCTAACTGCCTCCTGCCTCAGCTAAGTTACTAAGTGATGACAGCTCTTTCAGTGACCCCAAAGCAAGGTCAAAAAGAGAACTGCTCAGCTGCACTTAACCCCTACATTGCTTACCCACAGAATTATGAATAAATAAAGTGGCTGCTTCAAGCCATTTTGGAGCAAGTAAGTTTGGGGGTGGTTTGTTCTGCCGCAAAGCGCATCTGAAACACAAGGTCTGAGAGCCTCCCTGCCTTTCCTGGCCAGAAGTGTGGTGCTGCCCAATCCTCTGGAAGCTCCTGGTCTTGGCCATTAGCCTGGCCACGGTGTCTCCATCCTTCAGAACCACACTGAAGTCCTAAACCCTCCCCAATGCTTTAGGCACTCCAGGTACCCACTGTCTGGCAGAAGCCACACTGACTAGGGAGTGTCCACCATCAAGGTAGGACTGACATGATGACAACATGGGAGGTGGCCAGGGAAATGTGCTCCAAGGGTGAGCAGCCAGGGGGTGCTCAGAAGGGGCACCAAGGGCTGAGGAAAGCATGGGCAGGTATGGGCATGAGCCTCAGCATTTCCTGCCCACCAGGGAACTCTTGAGAGCCACCAATGGGCCAACAGATAGAAAGATGGTGCTGTCCTGTGGGCGACTGCAGGCCCGGGGCCCACCTCCCACCTGGACAACTGCAACCAGCCCTCCCTCGTCTCCCAGCTCCCTCAGGGCTGCCTGCAATCCTCTCCCACTCCATACACAGCAGCCAGAGAGCTTTCTAGAGCATGAGTCTGACCAGGTTCCCACCTGCTGAGATTCTTTTTTTTTTGAGACAGAGTGTCACTCTGTTGCCCAGGCTGGAGTGTGGTGGCGTGATCTCAGCTCACTGCAACCTGTGTCTCCTGGGTCTCCTGGGTTCAAGCAATTCTCCTGTCTCAGCCTCCTGAGTCGCTGGGATTACAGGTATGCACCACCATGCCTGGCTAATTTTTTTTTTTATATATATATTGAGACAGAGTCTCACTCTGTCTCCCAGGCTGGAGTGCAGTGGCATGGTTTCGGTTTACTGCAACCTCCACCTCCCAGGTTCAAGTGATTCTCATGCCTCAGCCTCCCAGGTAGCGGAGATTACAGGTGGCCGCCACCATGCCTGGCTACATTTTTTTTTTTTTTTTTTTTTTTTGAGACAGAGTCTCACTCTGTAGCCCAAGTTGGAGTGCAGTGGTGCGATCTCGGCTCACTGCAACCTCCGCCTCAGGGCTCAAGCTATTCTTCTGCTTCAGCTTCCCAAGTAGCTGGGACTACAGGCACCCACCACCATATCTGGCTAATTATTTTGTATTTTTGGTAGAGACAAGGTTTCACCATGTTGCCCTGGGTGGTCTCGAACTCCTGAGCTCAGGCAATCCATCTGCCTTTGCCTCCCAAAATGCTGAGACTACAGGTGTGAGCCACCGTGCCCAGCCTAAATTTTTTATTTTATTTTTTGTATTTTTAGTAGAGATGGGATTTCGCCATGTTGGCCTGGCTGGTCTTGAATTCCTGACCTCAAATGATCCGCCCACCTCAGCCTCCCAAAGTGCTGGGATTACAGGCGTGAGCCACCGCGCCCGGCCAGCTAATTTTTGTGTATTTTTAGTAGAGACGGGGTTTTGCCATGTTGGCCAGTCTGGTCTCAAACTCCTGACCTCAAGTGATCTGTCCGCCTTGGCCTCCCAAAGTGCTGGGACTACAGGCATGAGCCACTGCACCCAGCCTTGCTGAGATGCTTCTGTGGCTCCCTACTACCCCCGGGACAGTCCCGACTCCTATCCTGGCCTGCAAGGCCCTGGACTTCCAGCCCCTGCTGGCTTCTCTCCCACTTCAATGCCACTGCCTGCCCCTCTCACTTGGCTCCAGCCTTGGGGGCCCCCTTTCATTCCTCGAGCACCCAAGCTCCTTCCGGCTTTAGTGGCTTTACAGTGTCTATTCCTGCAGCCTAGAGTGCCTCCCACCCCCATATTTCAGGTCTCAGCTGAACCATCCCCTCCTCAGAGGAGCCTTCTACTCATCCCAAGCGTCCTCCTTTTTGCTCTCCTATCAGCTTGCTCTGTGGTTCATTTTTCTTCTTTTTATCTGTTTAACTCTAATCTCATGACAGATTATATGGTCCACTCTTTACCTTTGGAATGCCTTGTCCTAGACCAGCCACTCTCCTGCTCTAAAACTCCAAGAAGGCAAACGTCCTGTCAAAGCTCACCACCCGTATCCTGAGGCTTAGCGCAGTGCCTGGCACCTAATATTTGTTCTACTAAGGAACAATGTGTGTCCTCTCTGCCGGCCCCGTCTGCTCACCTCTACATGGGAAGGTCACTTTACCAACTGCCCGGCCAGGCTGTGTGCAGAGGTCAAATGACAGCCAACCGGGTCTCTCCAGAAGGAAACGGGAAGGGACCTGGGATCCGAGAGCTAGAGCAGGGGCGGGACACACCTGTTTTGTGCAGCTCAGGCAGGATGCGCAGGAAGATGGGGCGCGCATACAGGGGCAGTTCCTTCTCCAAGTCCTGAGCAAAGCGCTCCAGGTCACAGTTGCCAGTGGGGCTGGCCACGGCAGCCATTCCGGCCCGGCCCTCGGTTCCTGGGGATGGCAGGGTAGACACTGAGCAGCTGGTGGTGTCCCTGGATGATGCCTCCCCACCCACACCTTGCGTCTGCCTGCACATACCTGGCACCTCGACACCATACACGGCCACGTCAGCCATGTCCAGCAGGCGGCTGAGTGTGCCTTCCACCTCGGTGGTGGACACGTTCTCACCTTTCCAGCGGAACGTGTCCCCAGTGCGGTCTCGGAAGTACAGGTAGCCCAGCTCGTCCATCACCAGCACATCACCTAGGGAGGGGCCGGATGAGGCAGGGCTGGGCCTGGCCAGCTCTGAGTCCAGGGCTCAAACCAGGGAGGCTTCGCTGGAGCCCAAGGATTTGTTTGACCTCAAGGGCCAGGACTGGGGAAGTCCTGGGAAGGTGTCCTCTGGAGGTGGGAGAAGGTCCCCTCCTCCCCCAACCCTCAGGAAGGGGCTATGAAGGGCTGGGGACCCACCAGTAAGGTAGGCCTGGTCCCCCTTCTTGAAGACATCCTTGGCAATCTTCTTGTTGTTGGCGCCCTGGTTGAGGTAGCCATCGAAGCGGCGCAGGGGGTCTTTCTGGATGATGCGGCCCACCAGCTGGCCTGGCTCACCTGGGGTGGGGAAGGCAGGGTCGGATCTGCCCTAGGCAGCCTCTCCCACCCGTCCCGTCACCAGGTGTACCCTGCGTCGTTTTTTTTTTTTTTTTTTTTTTGAAACTATGTTTCGCTCTTGTTGCCCAGGCTGGAGTGCAGTGGTGCGATCTCACTGCAACCTCCACCTCCTGGGTTCAAGCAATTCTCCTGCCTAGCTGAGACTACAGGCGCACGCCAACATGCCCAACTAATTTTTTTTTTAAATTTTTTAGTAGAGCTGGGTTTCATCCTGTTTGCCAGGCTGGTCTTGAACTCCTGACCTCAGGTGATCCGCCCACCTCAGCCTCCCAAAGTGCTGGGATTCCAGGTGTGAGCCAACACTCCCAGCCTGTACTCTGCGTCTTGATCTGATTTGAGTCACACTGCTTGCCACAGAAATGCCCCACCTCCCCCAGCCCAAGAGCTCATCTTGGCAGTTCGGACAAACTGAGCCAGCGATGTCTGTTCTTGAAACTGATGGGAAGATGAACATAGGTCAGGCTCCTTGGGGACAGCCTAACGAAGCCAGTGCCCCAAGCCCCTGCTCCATGCCGGGCTCCACTCAGAGTTTTATGTTCTTTACCAAACATAATCCTCAGGCCAGCCCCACGGGCGGGTGCTGCCATGGGCACAGTTTGTAGATAAGGGGACTTAGACACAGAGAGGCTGAATACTCGCCCATGACACAGAGCTAAGGAGCTGAGCCAGAATAAATCTCAAGCAGCCTGGACTCAGGGTCATTTGGAGTCAATATGAAAATGAATGAATGAGGTTGGGCATGGTGGCTCACATCTGTAATACTAACATTTTGGGAGGCTAAGGTGGGTGGATCACTTGAGGTCAGGAGTTCGACACCAACCTGGCCAACATGGTGAAAGCCCATCTCTATTGAAAATAGAAAAACTGGCCGGGCGCGGTGGCTCAAGCCTGTAATCCCAGCACTTTGGGAGGCCGAGACGAGTGGATCACGAGGTCAGGAGATCGAGACCATCCTGGCTAACACGGTGAAACCCCGTCTCTACTAAAAAATACAAAAAAAAACTAGCCGGGCGAGGTGGCGGGCATCTGTAGTCCCAGCTACTCGGGAGGCTAAGGCAGGAGAATGGTGTGAACCCGGGAGGCGGAGCTTGCTGTGAGCCGAGATCCGGCCACTGCACTCCAGCCTGGGTGACAGAGCGAGACTCCGTCTCAAAAAAAAGAATTAAAAAGAAAATAGAAAAACTAGCCAGGCATGGTGGCGTGAGCCTGTAATTCCAGCTACTCAGGAGGATGAGACAAGAGAATTGCTTGAACCCAGGAGGCAGAGGTTAGAGTGAGCCAAGCTCATGCCACTACACTCTGGCCTGGGCGACAGTGAGACTTCATCTCAACCAAAAAAAAAAAAAAAAAAAGAATGAATGAATGAAAATGAATGAATGGACTGATGGACAGATAGAACGGTGAATGAATGAATGGATGGATACACAAAGAAATGAGTAACTTGTAGCCCTAGGAGCAGAGCTAACTGATGGCCACTGGTCAGAAAAGGGCTTCCCATCTACACACACCTGGATTCCTTCCTTCCCAGGTCAATCCCTCCCTCTCTGACCCCCAAGTGACAGACCTGGCTGGCAGGGAATGCAGATGCCATCGGGCCCCCGGATCAGCTCCATGGTGTCCTCGTTGACACGTACCAACCGGATGGGGTACACGAAGGACAGGATGCGGCTGTTGAAGCCACAGGCCCCCACCTGCGAAGGCCAAGACTTGGGCCTGGGCTCTCTCACCATGGGCCCAAAACTGGACAATGAGGGGGAGGTGGGACTCCAGCACCCACAATCTCATGCTGGAACTCTGCCCTCCCCTCTGCGTCCAGTGCCTTCCGTGGGCCATCCCTGCAGCGGCATTGCCCATCCCCAACCTGGCCGCACCTGGCTGTCGAAGTTGCCCAGGCTACAGTTGCACTCCGTGGCCCCATAGAACTCAGCCACCTGGGGTATGTGGAAGCGGCTGGAGAAGTTGGTCCAGATGGACTGCCGGAGGCCGTTGCCTAGTGCCATGCGAACCTGGTGCTGGTTTTCTGCCTCCCGCGGTGGCTGGTTCAGGAGGTAGCGGCACAGTTCACCAATGTACTGCACAATCTGGGGGTGAACTTGGTGTGACTCGAGGTTCCAGAGGCTGCCCTCACTACACTAGGATACTCCTGATCCCTCAAGCTCCTACTCTCCCCAGGGGCTGGCCATTATATCCTTTCACTCTCCAGGTCTCAGTCTCCCCATCTGAACAATGGGGACTTTGCCACAAATGAGCCCTTTGGAATGACTGGCCACCTCAGCTATAAGATAGATGCCCCAAAGTGTAGTTGGGAAGAGGGTAACGAGGGGAAAGGGACAGTTCACCCTTCCCACTCTCGCTCACCGTGCATTTGTACTTGATACAATCATCCCAGAACCGGGAGGCTGAGAACTTCTTCCGAATCACCACCGTCATGCCATGCAGCAGGCACTGCCCGATTCCCACGATGTTTCCTGGAGGCGGAGGGATGGCCCCTGAGGGTCAAGGAGATGAAGACCCTCCCCGAACCAGTGATACTGCCATCCAGCCAGGCAGGCCTGCGCTGCCCTGCAGGCTTCTGCACCTCACATCTGCCTGCCTTGGGTGACCTCCTCCAAGAAGCCTCCCCGGCTTCCATCACCAGGCTCCTCCTGGTGCTGCACTCTTGTCCCTGCCCCTCCCCTACACTCACATATACACCCAACTGTAAGCACGTGGAGGGCAGAGCTATATTTATTCAAGTTGTCTTCCTGTAAGCCCCTACAAACAGCAACAATGCCATGCATATCTGTGGAAACAAACTGAAATGAGACAGGCCCAGATGCTCCGTGGGACACTGCCACACACACTGTGAGGCTGGTGTGCTCATACTTTTTTCAATTTAAAACAACTTTTTTCTTTTTTTTTTTTGAGACAGTCTCTCACTCTGTCGCCCAGGCTGGAGTGCAGTGACGCCATCTCGGCTCACTGCAAGCTCTGCCTCCTGGATTCACGCCATTCTCCTGCCTCATCCTCCCGAGTAACTGGGACTACAGGCGCCTGCCACCATGCCCGTCTACTTTTTTTGTGTGTGTATTTTTAGTAGAGATGGGGTTTCACTATGTTAGCTAGAATGGTCTTGATCTCCTGACCTCGTGATCCGCCTGCCTCGGCCTCCCAAAGTGCTGGGATTACAGGTGTCAGCCACTGTGCCTTGCTTAAAACAAAAATTCTAGAGACAGGTCTCACCATGTTGCCCAGGCTGGCCTTAAACTCCCAGGCTCAAGTGATTCTGTCTCAGCCTCCCCAGTAGCTGAGACCACAGGCATGTGCACCACGCCTGGCTAATCCTGTTTATTTTTAAATTAAATTAAGTGTATTTATTTATTTTGAGACGGAGTCTTGCCCTGTCACCCAGGCTGGTGTGCAATGGCGCGATCTAGGCTCATTGCAACCTATGCCTCCTGGGTTCAAACCATTCTCCTGCCTCAGCCTCCCAAGTAGCTGGGATTACAGGCGCCTGCCACCAAGCCCAGTTGTTTTTTGTACTTTTAGTAGAGACGGGGTTTCACCACGTTTGACCAGGCTGGTCTCGAACTCCTGACCTCGTGATCCGCTTGCTTTGGCCTCCCAAAGTGCTGGGATTACAGGTGTGAGCCACTGCGCCTGGCCTATTTTTATGTTTTTTGAGACACTGTCTCGCTCTGTTGCCCAGGCTGGAGTGCAGTGGCGTGATCTCAGCTCACTGCAACCTCTGCCTCCCAGGTTCAAGCAATTCTCGTGCCTCAGCCTCACAGGTAGCTGGGATTACAGGCACATGTCACCACACCCAGTTAATTTTTGTATTTTTAGTAAAGATGGGGTTTCGCCATGTTGGCCAGGCTGGTCTCGAACTCCTGGCCTCAAGTGATCCGCCCGTCTTGGCCTCCCAAAGTGCTGGGATTACAGGTGTGAGTCACCACACCTGGTCCAAAGCTGTGTGTTTGTACCTCAGCACACTGCCTGACAGGGGTGGGGTTCCTGGAGACCTGGCAGGTGCTGGAGGCTGAGTGACAGCCCTAGAGTTACCTGCTGAGTGGTAGAGGGGGAGGCAGTCATAGATGATGTCATTGGGCCGCATGCGGAATCCATAGTACACCAGGGCAGCCATGCGGTAATACCTGGGAGGGCACAGGGCCGAGGGCTGAGTGGGCCCTGAAAAGGCAGGAGGAGGCTCCCCCGCCCTGCCTGTGCCTACCCCACCCTGGGCACCTGCCCCTTACCTGCTGTGCACCACGATGGCGGCCTTGGGCAGCCCTGTGGTGCCCGATGTGTAGATGTAGAACAGTTTATCTAAAGAAAACAGATGCGAGTGGCTGTCGGGTGCAGCTCAGGGCTGGGCACAGGGTCACACGGACGGACACCTGCAGGTGTGCACCCTTCAACACCTGTTCCCATCACACCCTTGCCAGGAAGCCTGTTCTGATGACCTCAGACACCACTCAGCTCCAACACCAGCATCCATTCCAACAAATATTTCCTGGGCCCTTGCTCTGTGCTAGGCCCTGCGGGGAGAGAGACATCAGTGAGCACGACGGGCATGGGCCTAGCCCTCTTGGCAATCACAGCTCAGTGGAACAGTCAGATGAGGACACAGGCAATTCCAATACTAAGCAGCAAGTGCCGAGGGAGGCCACAGGACCTGTCGAAACCCAGTAGCCACATTTGGCCCAAGCTTGCAGGAGGGGAGGTGGTGCCAGGTAGGCTTCCCGATAAAGGTGACACCTGCCCCAAGTCATAGAGCACAGGGAGGTTAGCTGCAGGAAGTGGGGTGTTGAGGTAGCTTCCGCACTGCTGAGCATTGATCTGCCCCACTCTGCAGCCCTCCACAGGGACTGCCACACTAGAGTTTCTATGCGAGGCTTGGCCCTACCAGACTTGAGGTTCCCTGGAGGTCAGGACCTCCACAAGAAGACGCCACACGTTTAGAACGCCTGCCAAGACACCTCACGCTCTCTGGCTGCCTGCTGTTTGCCAGCCCTAGGCACTATGAGGGCACCAGGGCAACCCAGCCAGAGTCCCTGCCCTGAAGTAGCTGACAAATGCACCCAAGAGACCAGATTCACGTACAAGAGAGAAGTTAAACAGTGCTGATGACAATGACCAGTTACTGAGCCCCTCCTGCCATACCCTAGCTTCAGGACTGGCCCCACTGTATTTTTTTCAACGCTCAAAGCTACTCATAGAGTAGGTTCTGTTACTGTCCCCAGTTTTATGGCTGTGGGAACTGAGGCTCCAAGGGCAGGGCAAGTGTCAGGGTTCACACAAAGGAAGCAGTAGAGCCAGGATATAAACTCGCATCTGACTCGACAGCCCAAGCTCTGAGCCACCAGGCAATGTGGCTTCACAGGAAAGGGAATGAGAAGAGCAGAAGAACCAGGTAGGCTACAGTATAAAAGAAGAGGGGTGAGAGGCTCAGAGAGGCTGCCTGGAGGCGGGGTCAGGGAGGCAGCGCAGCCCTGGGAGAGGATCACAGCTGGAGATCCCGAGGTGTCCTGCACTGAAGAGGTACTTGATGAATATTCAAAGGGTCTTGCTCCTCACCCACCCTCCCACCCAACCGCAACAAAGCCCAGACCAGGCAGGTTCCTGGAGTCCACAGGATTCTACATTAGGCATCAGTGAAGGCTTGTTCAACAAATCAAACTGGACTTTGTGATCTCCTGTGTTCTCAGCCCTGTATCTGGCACTGTGACACACATCAGCTCATGCCACCTTCACAGTAACCCTGGAATGGCCCAGGTTTACTGTCACCATTTTCCAGATGGAAAAAGGGAGGTGATGTGACATGTTCCAGGCACACGGCCAGTTTCCAGAAAAGCCTCCTTCTGGCACTGAGGCCAGTGCTCCTGTCCAGGGCCCGTGTAAGCGCCCCTCTGTGGGGTGGGGACGGAGCCCACCTGTGAAGCCCTTGTCAGGGCAACTGGGCAGGTGCTTGGGAGCATCTTCCAGCAGAGGGTCCAGGTGTTCTGTGCTTGTAGGCACCGCATTGGGCTCCCAGGAGCCAGAGCAGAAGAGGCTGAGCGAGGGGTCCAGGCTGGCATGGATCTCACAGATGGCTGTGGGGAGACAGGGCAGTCAGCAGGCCAGAAAACCCCATGTTGCCAAGGACCTCTGCTCCCAGCAGGGCTGGCCATGTTGCTGAGGAGACTGGCTGGGCAGGAGAGGCAGGGAAGCAACTGGGCCTTCAGTGCTGATGGGGCACCAGCAACGGTTCTATTAGCCACGGGTTAACCACAGAGTAGGCCCGCTTTACCTGCATTCTTTGGTCTCACAGCCCTGGGAAGGAGGGACCAATGACAGCCCCTCTTACAGATGAGAAGATTGAGGCTCTGAGAATGAGAGGACCTGCTCACAGCTAGAATGTGCTGGACCTGGCATGCAACGCCAGCTCTACCTCACACCAAGGTCTGGGCTCCCACCCACTGTCCCGCACTACTTACTCTGTGGGGCACCAGATAGAAGGCAGGAGTGCGGGTCAGAGGCCAGTGGCCGTCCATCCCCTTCCGAGAGTGGGAACCTTCTCTCAGGCTCCCCTGTGTGCTGCACAGACATCACACTCCACCCGCCTAGGTATGGAGCAGCGCTGGTCAGCTTGGCCCCACCTCCCTGGCTTCCTCTTGATTTGCCCAACCCTCTCCTCTTCCCTGGCTGCCTTCTTCCCTCTCCCCTTTCAGCACCAATTTTTCTTTTCTTTCTTCTTTTTTTTTTTTTTGCTTTTTAAAGTAGAGACAGGGGCTCACTATGTTGTCCAGGCAGGTCTTGAACTCCTGGGCTCAAGAGATTCTCTTGCCTTGGCCTCCCAAAGTGCTGGGATTACAGGCATAAGCCACTGTGCCTGGCCCCCTTTCAGCATCTTTTTTTTTTTAAGACAGAGTTTCGGCTGGGCGCGGTGGCTCACGCCTATAATCCCAGCACTTTGGGAGGCTGAGGCAGGCAGATCACGAGGTCAGGAGATTGAGACCATCCTGTTTAACACAGTGAAACCCCGTCTTTACTAAAAATACAAAAAATTAGCCGGGTGTGGTGATAGGCGCCTGTTGTCCCAGCTTCTCAGGAGGCTGAGGCAGGAGAATGGCATGAACCCGGGAGGCAGAGCTTGCAGTGAGCCAAGATCGCGCCTCTGCACTCCAGCCTGGGCCACAGAGCGAGACTCCATGTCAAAAAAAAAAAAAAAATACAGAGTTTCACTCTGTCGCCCAGGCTGGAGTGCAGCGGCATGATCTCGGCTCATTTGGTTCAAGTGATTCTTGTGCCTCAGCCTCCTGAGTAGCTAAGATTACAGGCGTGCACCACCACACCTGGCTAATTTTTGTATTTTTAGTAAAAACAGGGTTTCACCATGTTGGCCAGTCTGGTCTTGAACTCTCAAGCTCAAGTGACCTGCCCTCCTTAGCCTCCAAAAGTGCTGGGATTACAGGCGTCAGCCACCGTGCCTGGCCCCCTTTCAGCATCCTAATGACTTCCCCATTCATTATCCCACAAACACAACAGTGTGGGGAGGAAAAACAGAGCACTGTGGTCAAGCTGAAGATCAAACCCCAGTTCTGCCACTTACCAACTGTGTGACCTTGGGTGAGCTCCTCACAAACCCCTCTGAGCCCCAGGCTCATCACCCATAAAACCAAGATCCCTACCTTCCCTGGTCTTTATGGAGATTAGAGCTGCTCTTGGAAAGCAGCAGCATCAGCACTTTGCAGGTGCCCATTGTGGCAGCAAATAAAATGCAGGCTCTGTGAGGACAGTGGGGAATTAATTTTGTTCCCATTATACAGAGGAGCTAGATATGGCCTAATTAGTCACAAGGATGATTACCATTGTACTGAGGGGCCACTTCGCATCAGCCATGTTGCTAGTGCTTCAAGTGAAGTATCTTTTTTTTTTTTTTTTAAGACGTAACCTCTCTCTGTCACCCAGGCTGGAATGCAGTGACGTGATCCTGGCTCACTGTAACCTCTGTCTCCTGGGTTCAAGCGATTCTCCTACTTCAGTCTCCCGAGTAGCTGGGACTGCAGGTGCGCACCTCCATGCTCCGCTAGTTTTTTTTTGCATTTTTATTAGAGACCGGGTTTCACCATGTTGGCCAGGCTGGTCTCGAACTCCTGATCTCAAATCTGCCCACCTTGGCCTCCCAAAGTGCCGGGATTACAGCCATCACACACCACACCCGGAGTTTTTTTGTTTTTTTTTTTTTGAGACGGGGTCTCACTCTGTCTGCCAGGCTAGAGTGAAGTGGCACAATCGCCACTGACCGCAGTCTTGACCTTAGTCTTAAGTCATCCTCCTGCCTCAGCCACTGAGTAGCTGGGACTACAGGTCCATGTCACCATGCCTAGCTAATTTTTTAAAAACTTTTTTAGTATGCCAGGTGTGGTGGTTCATGTCTATAATCCCAGCACTTTGAGAGGCAGAGGTGGGTGGATTGCTTGAACTTAAGAGTCTGAGACCAGCCTGGGCAACATGACAAAACTGAGTATCTACAAAAAATGCAAAATTTAGCCAGGCATGGTGGTGTATGTCTGTGGTCCCAGCTACTCACGAGGCTGAGGTGGATGGATTGCTTGAGCCTGAGAGGTCAAGGCTGTTGTGAGCTGTGACTGCACCACTGCACTCCAGCCTGGGTGACAGAGCAAGACCCTGTCTTAAAAAAAGTTTCTTAGTAGAGAAAGAATCTTACTATGTTGCTTAGGCTGGTCTCAAACTCCTAGGCTCAAGGGATCCTCTTGCCTTGGCCTCCCAAAGTGCTGGGATTACAGGTGTGAGCCATTATGCCCAGTCTGAAGTACCTTTTAGAAAACAGTATCAAGTAGGAACTACGGATGAAGAAACTGAGGCTCAGAGAAATCAGTCCCTTTCCCAGGATCTCCAGTTTACTTGTGGCACTGCCTAAGCTGTCTGACCCCACTCTGTGTCCTTAACCACACAGCCTTGGCAGGGCTGGAAGGGAGCCGTGGTCTGTGTAAGATCCCATGGGGTTCCTGCTTGTCCCTCACCCGCTTGGGGCTCACCTGAGGCCATTTCGCTGCCAAAGACAAGGGCCCGTGCACGTGAGGTGGTGAGGCAGTGGAGCAGGGCATCCCGCCGCAGGTTGGTGTTGATGAGGGCCGCCTCCACACCGAGCTTGGCCATGCCCAGCCATAGGCCCACGAACTCATTGCGGTTCTCCATGAAGATGGCAGCCACATCCCCCGAGGCCAGGCCCCGGGCCTGCAGGAAGTTGGCTACACTGCTCGAGTACTCATCCAGCTGGCGGAAGGTCCAGTGGGTATCTGTGCCCTCGAAGATCAGGGCCGTCTTGTCGGGGTGGCGCCGAACGGTAGAGGCAAACAAAATGGGCACCGTCCGCCGTTCCCGCAGGCACTGTCGCACCTTCGCCTTCACCTTCAGGAGCACTAAGCCGCCACTGTGTGTGAGCAAGAGAGGGTGCTGTGCCTGCCATGGTTGGGAGTGAGGGGTCCTGACACCCTACCCCAGGCTGCTGCTTCGCCAACCTATGCTTCATGAGCCAGATCCCCTATAACACTTCCATCTCCTGGCTCCTGCTGGGAACATGCACCGTCTTACTGATGCCGCTCAGTAACACTGAGAGTTCGTATGATTCCTATCTTCCCTCACACAGAAGGAAATCAAGGCTCTCGTGGTGCCGTGGCCTGCTCAAAGCTTCATGGATGGAGGGTGGCTGAGCTGAGATTTGAACTCTAGGCCTCTCTGGCTCCAGAGTTCAACTCCTACCCTCTCAGCCTGCTGCTCCAGCAGAAACCTCCTAGGTCTCCAGAGCTTCCTGTAAAAATCCAAACTCCTTGTTTGGGGCCTCCCACAGTCCAGTGGCTCCCCCAACCCACCATGACCACAGTAAATAAAGAATGAGTTTACTGGTCTGTCCAGTCTTTCTCCCTGTGAGCCTAGCTGGGATAGGCTTCTGTCTTATACAACACTCTGTCCCCAGGGTCCTGTGCCAGGCAGAATAGACGCTCAATAACTTTGTGGAATCACTTGGCAACATCCCACTCCTGCCACCTTTTTTTTTTTTTTTTTTTTTTTGAGATGGGGTCACACTCTGTCACCCAGGTTGGAGTGCAGTGATGCAATGTCAGCTCACTGCAACCTTCGCTTCCCAGGCTCAGATGATGCTCCCAACCTCAGCCTCCCAAGTAGCTGGAACCACAGGTGCACACCACGGTGCCTGGCTAATGTTTTTGTATTTTGGTAGGGACGGGGTTTTGCCGTGTTGCCCAGGTTGGTCTCGAACTCCTGAGGTCAAGTGATCTAGTCACTTCGGCCTCCCAAAGTGCTAGGATTACAGGTGTGAGCCACTGCGCCCAGCCCTGGACTCCATGGCTTCGTTGCTGATGCTGTGCCTTCTGGTTGGGACTCATCTCCTTCCACCACCACTAAGGCACCTCTCAAGTACAGCCAGTTTTTCTCCAGGAGGCCTTCTCTGATTCCCAGGATCCTGGCTGGAGGCTGTCTCTCCTTGCTCCATGCTCCCACAGTTACCACCCTTCCTGGTGTGCCGCTCCATGCCTTCTTTTGTAATCAACCCAGATTGACAAATGCTGAGCTGCCTGTGCTGGGTGTGGGTCACTGAACTGGGTGCTGGGACACAGTAGTGAGCAATGCTGCACCAGGGTCTCTGCACCAGGGTCTCTGCCCACATGGGACTGCCAGTTTACAGATGTGCTGTGTCCCTTTCTTTCTCCTGACCAATCTGAGCTTGGCAGATAGGGTCTGCCTTATTCCTCTCTGGACCCCAGAGCTAGCCTGGCACCTAGTAGAGAATAAACGGGAATAAGTATTTCTGGTACAGGATGTCTCTTGGAGCATACCTGGCTTTCTTTGGGGAGCAGGTTATCCCAGACATCTGAGTAGGGGCCCTGCTCTAGAACTCAGTGCCCCCTGTGCCATCTTGCACCCCTGCCAACCTGAGGGCAGGGCCTTTCCCCAAGGTTCCTCTTTACCCTTTCACAAACTTACAGAGTCCTCAGGACCCCTTGCAGATGTCTCAACACACTTGGTGTTCAATGTATGTCCTAGGCCAAGCCTGCCCAAAGTCTAGGAGCCTCAAGTTAAGGAGATTCCCTGGGAAAAGACTTTGACCTTGGAGATGGAGGTACCAGGTACCATTGCCAGGGGAAGGGTGTGGAGCAGAGGTTGCTGTTCTGGAACTCAGCTCAGCTGCCCTGTGCTGGTAGAGACCATGAGGTCTGGCCTGGGGAGACTTGGGGGACCAGAAGCTCACTGTACTGTGAGAGACCCCAGGAAAGGCTGGGCCAGGTACTCACAAAATATCGCGCCTGATGGTTTTGATGAAGACCCGGATGAAGCGCCAGCCTCCAGATCCCAAGTAGAGGAACAGCAGGGAAAATCCCACCTGGGTCCAGGGCAGTTTCAGCACCAGCTTGGAGAACAGCAGCACCCCCACTAGAGAGGCTCCAAGCAGCATTGTGGCCTGCAGACACAGAGCAGTTAGTGGACCCAAACACCCATCCCTCCAGGTCTCCTACCTCCCAGCCCAGACAGCCAGGCCACTGTGATCCCAAGGGGACAGCCTGTGGTAAGGCTTAGCCATACTAAGTTGGGTGACTGACCACAGGGGTCCCTTTCCAGGCATGGCCTAGGAGGGGCAGGCTAGGGGCTTGGCACTTGAGGTGAGGAATTCCATGAGTGAGAAGCAGGAGGCTGGTTCTCGTCTCATAGTCCCATCTCTGTCTACCATCCTCCAAGTGACCTTGGGCAAGACCCTTTCACATTTTAGACTTTAGTCTCTGCCCTCTGCGCAATGGGTATAGGGAGACGTGTTCTAAGAGGCTTTTCTAGCCAAAACAGGACAGTTCACTCTTCTGACATCCAAGGTCTCTAAACCAGATGGCCTGGGGGTGGGTATCGACTAAGAGCCTCTGGCTCGCCAGCAGTGGGGGCTCACACCTGTAATCCCAGCACTTTGGGAGGCCAGGGCAGGCGGATCACGAGGTCAGGAGTTCAAGACCACGCTGACCAAGATGGCGAAACCCCATCTCTACTAAAAATACAAAAATTAGCCAGGCATGGTAGCACACACCTGGAATCCCAGCTACTCAGGAGGCTGAGGCAGAAGAATTGCTTGAACCTGGGAGGCGGAGATTGCACTGGGGCGAGATTGTGCCACTGCACTCCAGCCTGGGAGACAGAGCGAGACTCTGTCTCAAAAAAAAAAAAA